CTCAGCCTTCCAGGTTCAAGCTATTCTCCTGCCTCAGTCTCCTGAGTAGCTGGGACTACAGGGACATGCCACCACGCCCAGCTAAATTTTGTATTTTTGGTAGAGACGGGGTTTCACCATGTTGACCAGGATGGTTTCGAACCCCTGATCTTGTGAACTGCCCGCCTCAGCCTCCCAAAGTACTGGGATTACAGGCATGAGCCGCTGTGCCTGGACAATAATTCTTACAAATAAACAATAAAAAGACAGAAGCCAGACATCACTCTAGCAAGCACATGTCATCACAGACACTCTGCTCTGTACCATGGACAGAGGAGACACCAAAACAGAGGCTGGTCAGCTGTACCATCTTGGAGGAGGTACATCCCACACGTCCCCTGGGCATGAACTCCCATCTAGCCTTCCCATACTGTTGAGGAATATACCCTTACAGACTTTCCTCAGCACGGACGGGCAGTGCTCTGGTTAGCTTGAGCTGAGGCACACCTGGGCTTAAGGTGCCATCTAGTGACAAAAAGGAAGAAAGGACCTGGCAAAAAAGAAAAGATATTCCAACAGGTATATATATATAAATCTCTGAGCAAACATATCTATTTAAAAAAAAAAAGCCAGAAAGAGAAGATTAGAACAAAAACCTAATCTTCCATGCAAAGAAACACATGCACATCCAAAAGAAATAATAGCAAGTGGGGAACCAAGACCTCCTCAAACTAGACAAAGCAAGAAGCCAGTGACTGACCTTAACAGGATGGTGACAGGGAAGCTCTTTGATCAAGAATTCAAAACTAGTTTTAAGAAAACTCAGTGATCTCTAAAATATCATGGAAAAACCCAGAAATCGGTAAGAAAAATTTAACAGAGATTGGAATAATTTAAAAAATCAAACAGAAATCCTGGAAGTGAAAAATATATTTGCTGAGCTAAAAAATTCATTAGAGGCTCTCAACAGCAGAATGGATCAAGCAGAGAAAAGAATCAGTGAGTCTGAAGATAGCCTATTGGAAAAGACACAGAGGAGAAAAAAAAGAGGGAAGAGAAATGAAGAACACCTATAAGGTATAGAAAATTGCCTCAAAAGAGCAAATCTAAGAATTATTGGTGTTCAAGATAAAGCAGAGCAAGAGCAAGGAGTAGAAAGCTTATGAAAAAAATAATAACACAAAATTTCCCAAATGTTTTTTTGGTTGTTTTTGGTTTTTGGTTTTTAGACAGAGTCTTGTTCTGTTGCTCAGGCTGGAGTGCAATGGCTTGATCTTGACTCACTGCAACCTCTGCCTCCTGGATTAAAGTGATTCTCCTGTCCTGAGTAGCTGGAATTACAGGTATGTGCCACCATGCCTAGCTCACTTTCAAATTTTTAGTAGATACAGGGTTTCACTATGTTGGCCAGGCTGTTCTCAAACTTCTGACCTCAAGTGAATCACCTGCCTCAGTCTCCCAAAATGCTGTGATTATAGACATGAGCCACTGCATCTGGCCCAAATCTTGAGAAAGACATAAATATTCAGGTACAAGAAGGCCAGAGATCACCAAACAGATTAAATCCAAATAAAACTATCCCAATATATATATTAAGCAAGCCCCCAAAGGTCAAGGACAAAGGAAGGACCCCAAAAGCTGCAAGAGAAAAGAACAAATAATGTATAAAGGAGCTCCAATTCATCTGGCAACAGATTGCTCAATGGAAACCCTAGAGTCCAGGAGGATGTGGGATAACACATTCAAAGTGTTGAAAGAAAATAAAACTGCCAGGCTCAGGGGCTCACACCTGTAATCCCAGCATTTTGGGAGCCCAAGGCAGAAGAATCACTTCAGGCTATGAGTTCAACAGTAGCCAGGACAACATAGTGAGACCCCTGTCTCTAAAAAATAAAAAAATAAAAAATTAGCTGGGTATGGTAGAACACACCTGTAGTACCATCTACTTGGGAGGCTGATGAAGAAGTATCACTGGAGCCCAGGAATTTGAGGTTACAGCCAGCTATGATTGCATCACTGCATTCTAGCCTGAGTGACAGAGAGAGACCCCATCTTCTCAAAACAAAACGAAACAAAACAAAACAAAACAAAAAAAGACAACTGCCAACCATGAATTCTGTGCCCAGCAAAGCTATGCTTCAAACATGAAAAATAAAGCCCCAGACAAACAAAAACCGAGGAAATTCATCACCACCAGACCCATCTTCCAAGATATGCTAAAAGGAGTTCTTCAATCTGAAAGAAAAATACATGAACACAAAAAAAAGAAAACATTTGAAAGATTAAAACCTACTGATAAAATACATAAACTCAGCATACTCTAACACTGTAATTGTGGTATGCAATCCACTCATAATTCCAGTATGAAGATTAAAATATAAATCTATAGAAAACCATAAGAGCTATAGCAACCTGTTAAAAGAGATGGGCAATATAAAAACACATAAATTGAGGCACAAAAAGTCAAAATGTGTGTAGGGGTGGAATTTAAGTGTAGACATCTTTTATTTTTCCTTTAGTTGTTTCTATTCTATTCTTTGTAAATAAAGATAAGTTGTCATCTGTTTAAAATAACTTGTTATAACTATAAGATGTTTTTTGTAAGACTCCTTTCTATTTTTAGTGTATTTGTTATTGTATTTTGTAACCACAAAGCAAAAACCTATAATAAATACACTAAAAACGAAAGGCAACAAATTAAAACATACTACCAGAGAAAATCACTTAACCACAAGTAATAAAATGACAGTAATAAGTCCTCACTTACCAGTAACAGTGAATGTAAATAGACTAGATTCTTCAATTAAAAGACACAGAATGGCTGAATGGATAAGGAAATAAGACCTAAATATTTCCTGCTTACTAGAAACCCATTTTACTTCTAAAGACTTACATAGAATAAAAGTGAGGGAATGCAAAAATTAACATTGTTAAAATATCAATGTTACCTAAAGCAATTAAAGAGTAAATGCAATCTCTATCAAAATACCAATGACATTCTTCACAGAAATAGGACAAAAAGCCTAAAATCTGTATGGAACCAAACACCCTGAATAACCAAAGCAATCATGAGCAAAAAGAACAAAGCTGGAGGAATCAAACTGCCTGACTTCAAATTATATTACAAAGCTATAGTAACCAAGACAGCATGGTACTGACATAAAAACAGACACATAGACCAATGGAACAGAATAGAGATCCCAGAAATCAATCCACACATTTACAGCCAATTCATTTTTGACAGGTGCCAAGAATATATATTGGGGAAAGATTATGGGAAAATCACATGCAGAAGAATGAAATTAGACTCCTAGTTTAGTTTAAGGACTTAAATCTAAGACCTGAAACTATGAAACTTCTGGAAGAAAACACTGGGAAAATGCTCCAGGGCATTTGTCTGGGCAATTTTTTTTTTTTTTTTTTTTTTTTTTTACTAAAACCTCAAAAGCATAGGCAACAAAAGCAAAACTAGACAAATAAAATTACATCAAGCAAAAGCTGTACGGTAAAGGAAACAACAGAGTAAGGAGACAACCCACAGAATGGAAGAAAATATTTGCAAACTGTCCATCTGATAGGGGATTAATAACCAGGATATAAAAGGAACTCAAACAGCTCAATAGGGGGAAACATGATTTTAAAATGGCAAAAGATTTGAATAGGCATTTCTGAAAAGAAGATATACAAAAGGCCAAAAAGAATATTTTTAAATGCTCAACATCACTAATTATAAGAAAAATGCAAGGAGGCTGGGCGTGGTGGCTCATGCCTGTAATTCCAGCACTTTGGGAGGCCAAGGCAGGCGGATCATGCAGTCAGGAGATTGAGATCATCCTGGCCAATATGGTGAAACCCCATCTCTATTTATAAAATAAATAAATAAATAAAAATACAAGGAAAGGCACAATGAGATATCATCTCACCCCAATTTAAAATGACTTTTATCAAAAAGATAAGGAATAACAGATACTGGTGAGGATGTAGAGAAAGGGGAACCTCATACCCTATTGGTGGGAAAGTAAATTAGTACAGCCACTTTGAAAAACAGTATTTTTTTCTGATATACAATAGAGATATGTATTTTGAGAGAGAGTAAGACTCTGTCTCAAAAAAAAAAAAAAAAAGATTGGCTGAAAATTGATAATTGTTAAAACTGAGTGATGGCCACTTTTGTATGTGTTAGAAATTTTTGACAATAAAAAGGGTTTTTTTCCAGCCTTTTATTATGAACATTTTCAAACATACAGAGAATTTGAAAAGAATTATACAGTGAACACATATGTCCACCACCTAGATTCTACAATGAATATTTTTGCTACTTTATTTACTGCTTATATATTTGTTTTACCACCCATCTGTTCTCTGCCTCCCGGGTTCAAGCAATTTTCCTGCCTCAGCCTCCTGAGTAGCTAGGATTACAGGCGTGCATCACCATGCCTGGCTAATTTTTGTAGTTTTAGTAGAGAGAGGGTTTCACCATGTTGGCCAGCCTAGTGTTGAACTCCTGACCTCGTGATCTACCTGCCTCAGCCTCCCAAAGTGCTGGGTTTACAGGTGTGAGCCACCGTGCCCGGCCGTGTCCATCTAGTTTTTTAAAAGTTTACTATTTTAGGCCAAGTGCAGTGGCTCCCGCCTGTAATCCTAGCACTTTGGGAGGAGCTGAGGCAGGAGGATGGCTTGAGGCCAGCAGTTTGAGACCAGCCTAGGCAACAAAGTTGGGCCCCATCTCTATAAAAAAAAAATCAAAAAATTAAAAAATATATATGTGTGTGTGTCTACATAAGTTAATTCTTTCCTATTTTAAATTATGAAAGTAATATATACTTGTAAAAATTCAAATAACCTAGAAACATAGAGGAAAATGGCTTCCTCGTGCTTATGGCCCATGAGGAGGCATCGCAGTCTGTGTGCCCACGTCCCCTGGGGGCTGTGTGCCATGGCTGCCCTCACCATTCTCCTATTCATAGGAGGAGTCACGGTTGAAGAGTTAAATTACAGAGAGAATAAAAAGTAGAACTTACCATGTTTCCAACTGCCATCATTACCAAAAAACTCCAGCACTATTCTCACAAAATCCTTAGCATTAAAACAAATAACAGGACATTTACATTTCAGAGTTTGAAATAGCACATTCCTAGAAGATGAAAAGAAATTCGCTGATTTAAACATTAATTTAGAACCTCCAACCTTGAAAAAATATTACTATTCAACTAATAGCTATCATTTAGATAGTACATACATACATTAACTAAAGAATCCCAAGAGGTTGGTATTATTTATTATCTGTGCTTTACAGATGAAGAAACTGAGACACAGAGGGACTAAGTAAGGTATTCAGGGTCACACAGCTCCCAAGTGCTTATCCCTGTGTAACACCCCATTACCTGCAGAATAAGACCTACGTTTCTGAGCAGGATACACCTATTCTGGGCTCTTTAGAGCCAGGCCCCAAGATTACTCTCTAGCCTGTTCTCCCAGAACTCCCCTCAAACATTCTACCCTCTAGTCCCACTGAATTCTCTTTCTTCTACCACCAGGCTGTGCCATGTCCTGTTCTGCTCCTGGGCCACGGCATATACTGTAGTCTTGCCCACAATTCTCTTCTCACGACTTTTGCAAACTGTTCAAGGGCCATCTTCAGGAGGGTATGCCCTAATTCCCCAGGCAGGGGGCTGCTCCCTCTTCTGTATCTCTTCTATACTCCTGTCAACACATGTAGTTCAGTAGGAACACACTTGCTGTATTATACTGTACCTTGAAAGTTTGTTCTCTACACTATAACACAAGCACTTTGAATATGGGATACACAATTGTTAAAACTGAATAGTTACTTTGTGCCAGATACCATGATGAACACTTCGCAGCATTGCGTGTGAAGTGATTGTTGCATTGAAACCTCATCACGATCCTAGCTGACATACACTAGAACCATTTTCAGATGAGGAAGCTTAGTCTTGAAGAGGCTAAGCAATTTGGCCAGGGTTAAATGACTAATAAATGGCAATGCTGGGACCATATCCTGCTGCTTCCAGGGCTCAAACTCTAAGCTACCGAAGCCATCAATCCCTCTTTACAGTAAATGCTCATTAATATATTAATGAGGTTCTTCGGTTAGAGCTGAGAAAGAAAGAAATTGAGAGCCTATTGAGCTTTGCACACTTAGCCAAACTGTAGTTAGATTTTGCTTGGACTTGTTCCACAGAAATACACTTGTTGGCTTTTTCCATTTTATGTGATTTCACCTTGGTTTTCCTTGAAAAGGGCGGCCAGGATGGTAGGGAGGGTAATGTGCCAATAACACAACTTCAGATCTTGGCTCGGTTGGAGTGGGGAGGAGGGTGTCCAAGAGAAGAGAAGGGAAAGCAGGAGCAAAGAACATATGAAGGAGAAGAACTGGGGCCATGCAGCTCACTTCCCTTTGCTGCTCCTTCATCCTTAAAACTCAGAGGTCCGTGATCTACCAACTAGACTATCTTTCGCTAATAAGAAACTAATTGATTTTTATCTTGATAAAACAAAGAAAAAGAATACCTTGTAAGATAAATGGAAACTGGCCAGGCATGGTGGTGCGTGCCTATAGTCCCTAAAGTCCTAGCTACTGGGTGAGGTTGCTGAGGAGGGAGAATCTCTTGAGCTGGGAGGTTGAGGCTGCAATAAGTCGTGAAATAAAACATCTCTCTATACATGTATGTACATTCACACGCACGTGTATATTTATATATATATATATATATATATATATATATATAAGCTAGACTTGAGGCTTTCTCATCTGTAAAATGGAGTGAATAGGCATAACATACAGAGAGAATGTGAAGGTGAAGGAAGAGTGTGTATGTGAAAAGCCCTTGCACAGGTCACTTAATAAATGTTATTAAACATGTTTTGTGCAAAAAAAAAGTATGCGTATTAATTTAAATGTGATTTATTTAAATTTATTAGAATCTCAAAGATATAATCATATGATTAGGATTTTTATTTCCAATTTATGGTGCTTGAGGCAATGTATTAATTTAACTGTCCTATATATAAAAATTAAGCCTTGCGTGGGAACGGTGGCTCATGCCTGTAATCCCAGCACTTTGGGAGGCTGAGGTGGGAAGAACACAAGGTCAAGAGATCGAGACCATCCTGGCAAACATGGTGAAACCTCGTTTCTGCTAAAAATACAAAAATTAGCTGGGCATGGTGGCACATGCCTGTAGTCCCAGCTACTCAGAAGGCTGAGGCAGGAGAACTGCTTGAACCCGGCAGGCGGAGGTTGCAGTGAGCTAAGATCACAACACTGCACTGCAGCCTGGTGACGGAGCGAGACTTTGTCTCAAAAAAAAAAAAAAAAAAAAAAAATTAACCCTCAACATTCATTCATTCATAATAATATTGAATGCTGATTAAGCAATTGCTTTGTAGCACTGCTTTTAGATATTGGGGAGACATTAGCAAACACACTGCTAAACAGAAATGAAAGTTATGTATGTGGGGTTGGCAGTGGGGTACCACCTCATACAGTGTGGTCAAGGAAGGTCTGATAAGGTCATTCTTTTTTTTTTTTTTTTTTTTTTTATAGACAGAGCCTCACTCTGTCATCCAAGCTGGAGTGCAGTAGCACAATCACAGCTCACGGCAGCCTCAAACTCCTGGGTTCAAGTGATCCTCCGACATCAGCCTCTGGAGTAGCTGGGACTGTAGGCACATGCCATTGTACCCGGGTAATTTTTAAATTTTTTGTAGAGATGGGCTCTCACTGTGTTGCCCAAGCTAGTCTCAAACTCCAGCCTCAAGCCATCCTCCCATCTCAGCTGAGCCACTGTGCCCAGCCACGGTAACTCTTGAGGAAAGATATGAAGGATTAGGTAAACAAAAGCCCACTTGGTGAAGGAAAAGCTCTTTACAGAAAATTTTAGCCACTCTATGTGGAAGAAATGATAGAGTTAGAAAAACCACCATCTTACTAGCCATCATAAAATAAGTGATTCAGATGATCCTCATCAATGGGCAAAACCATTAAGGGAAAGTTTGGGGGAGAAGCTTATAAGTAAGGGGTCGTCCCGACATTACCTGAACCCGCTCTCCCTCTCAGCACCATGAAAACTGGGACAACCCAATCGCATCACTAAGGGAAGTCAGGAGGACACCAGTTAAGTTTGAATTTCAGAAAAATCATGAATAATTATTACCTGAAAAAAATTATTTTTTAGAGATGTATTCTTCTAGTATAACTATGTCCCAGGCAATAAATGGGAACATACGTATACTAAGAAATTAGTTATTTACCTGAAATTCAGATTTGGTATCCTATATTTTAATTTCTAAATCTGGCCATCCAATTCCAACATGGATGGTGTGTGAAGCCTATGGCACCACCTAGGAAGTGCTGTGCAAAACAAGTTGGACCCACATAATCAAGCCTTTAGCACTAACTCCAGTTTATAGGAAATATGGCAAAGAGGAACAAGAACAAGTTAAAGAACTTCATGATGAGGCAAACCAATGAATCCAGGACATGGGACCTCCTCCAAGATGGGGAGAGGGGCTGTGGGGCACTCCAGATTAGAAAAAACAAGAGACGTGGCCACCAATGCTATGTCCTGATCCCAGCAAGTCAACTGTAGAAGGACATTTTTTAGACAACCAGGTAACTTTAAATTTGGACTGGGTATAAAATTTGTTAAATTTTAAAATGGCATTGTGGCTCTGTTAAAAAAAAGAACAACAACAAAAAACAAGCCCATAGTTTTTAGAGTTACACCCTCAGACATGAGAGGGCAAAACAATAGGTTGGGGTTTTCTTTTTTACATTTATTTATTTTATTTTAGGTGCATACTGTATCTGGCATGGGAGTTTCTTTAACTTCCCCTCCCCCAGGAAAGGGACAGATGACAGAAGTAAGGAAAAACCTCTGATAATGTTGGCCTGGGTGGATGTGTATACCACTCTGTACTTTTGTGTTTCATAGTTTACTTTCTGTTTGTTCAGAGAAAAACATAAAGGAATGAGGCAGCAAACCATGCAGCTTTTTGGGAGAATGCTACACGGAGGGCATGGTTACCAGGCCCTTGGGTAGAGGCACACGCCACATGGTCAGGAACAGCAAGGAGGTGGGAGTGCACTGAGAGGCCGGGAGAGAAGAGGGGGTGAGGATGAAGACAGTGGAGGGGCTGGAGCAAGCAGACCTCGGGGGCAAGGGCCTTCATAGGTCCCGTGGCTTTTCTACACTTGATCTTAGCCGGAAGGCTGAGAAGCAGTGATTTTGGCTTTTCCTCAGAGTGAAGCAGGGGCTGTTTGAAGGTTTTGGGCAGGGGAGTGATATGATCTGATTTATGCTGTAACAGGCCAGCTCTGGGTGCTGCACGGAAAATAGACTGAAGGGGAAGGTGGAAGCAGGAGTCCAGAATGGAAGTTCCTGTGAGCCAGTGGGAGTAACGGTGTGTGCCGAGTAGCAGCAACACAGTGGATAAGCAGAGGGCAGATTCTAGCTACACGAAGGCAGAGCCAATAGGACATGCTGAGAGCTTGATATGGTTTGTGGAAAGTAGAGAGAAGTTAGGGATAACCCCAGAGCTTTTTGCCTAAGCTCATGAAGGGCAGATACTAAAACAGCCAGGCCACAGTAGGCAGGGTCCAGGGCAAGACAGGAGCTCGGTTTGGACATGTTTGCCTAAAATGACCACTAGACATCTAAGTGGAATACATCAATTAAATTCAGAAATATCATCCAGATATTAGTGCTGTGTCCTCACCAAAGCTCTCCATACACTAGAGCTGACCAGTTATTCTCTAACAAGGAAATTACATCAAAAGAAAATTAAGGGTTCTGTTGGGAGCTGAATGCTATGTTTGTCACACATTGTCCCCTTCTCCCCAAAAGTTACCTAAAATCACCCAGAGCCCATTGAGCCTGTATGAAGCATGAAAGGGCTACTAACGGTGCCCAGCTTCCTCCGGAGCTGCCTTGATCACCTCTTCACGGTGGTGGGCTCCGTGGAACTCCACCAGGGTGGCTAGCTGGCCTTAAATCAGAGGGCTGGGAAGGCAGCGGATACCTCCATCTGAGGCAGAAGCCCAAGTCAGGTGGATAACCCAAACAAAGAAACAGTGAGAAAGAGTACAAGAGCCAACCCAGAAAGGTCTTTTCAGAATCCAGAAGGGGCAGTGGGAGCAACCCTGCCTGCTCTAAAATTCTGTGATTCTATGAGGGCCAGTCCAAAGAGGTGAGACAGGTCTTGCCTCTTTCCACAGACATGGAGCTTTAAAACTAGTCCCATCCTTGGTGGTAATTCAGGACAATTTATTATTTGCAGGCAGGGATAATTTTGTTTTCTAATGCTGTGAATGAATCAACAAGTATGATAGGGAAATCCATCTGCCAGTGACAGACGATTTTCAGGGTCTTGGGGTGATGCTTTTCTGCCCAACTCCTCATTGTGAAGTTGCTTCAAGTCCTGGAGCAGAGTGCTCCCACAGAAGAATGGAAACTCCATTCCAGATACTCTCTGGGAGAGAGAGGGCCAGTATTTGCAGAGGTTTCTATCACTCAGATCCATTTTATTTTCATTTGCCCAAATAAAACTTCTAAAAGTTTAAATAATTAAAACTGGACCTGGAGAAACGTTACATTCATATAAAGCAGGCATGTCAGTAGGGTGTGAGTTGATGCGTGAAGACTTCTTACCGGGCAAACTGACGATGTGCCTCCTGCTTTTGGTCCCAGAGAGCAGAGCGCCCTATTTGAATGTAGATACACGGATCACCCGACACAAAGCCCTCCAGAACAGGGCCACAGGTCAGGGCGTCTGGACAACCACGGCCACCCTCTGCTGGGCTTTTTAGTAACACCACAATTCCTCTAACAGAGGAAATGGGAGTCTGTGGAAACACAACAAAACAAATACAAAACCTAGACTGTTTACAACCATCTGTTGTAGAAAGATACACATTTTTTCTTTCCTTTCTTTTTTTTTTTTTTGAGACGGAATTTCACTCTTGTTGCCCAGGCTGGAGTGCAATGGCGCAATCTCGGCTCACCACAACCTCCGCCTCCTGGGTTCAAGCAATTCTCCTGCCTCAGCCTCCTGAGTACCTGGGATTACAGGCACACGCTACCATGCCCAGCTAATTTCCATATTTTTAGTAGAGACGGGGTTTCACCATGTTGACCAGATGGTCTCGATCTCTTGACCTCGCGATCCATCCGCCTCAGCCTCCTGGGCGTGATTACAGGGATTACAGGCGTGAGCCACTGCGCCCGGCCGAAAGATACACATTTTAAACTTAAGCAGAGATAAAAAGGCCTCAAATTAAACTTGTAAGCGAATGGCTCTTTTAATGATAATCAAGGCCAAAAGCCAAACCCATGACCTTACGCCAAATCTGGTCTCCACCCTGTCCACCATCATAATAGATGTCTCATCCAGGGCAATATGATAGGAGAAAGGAATAAAAGAGATACATATCAGAAAAGGAGCATCGTACTATCCCTATTAACAAATGGCATGAATGTCTGTGTAGAAAATCTAAAGGAATGTATAAAAAATGAATCCTGAAACTAACGTGAATTTAGCAAGGTTGCAGGACACAAGATTAAAGTACAAAAATCTAATGTATTTTTATATTCTAGCAATAAACATGTGAAAATAAAATTTTTTAAAACTACCGTTTATAAAACTCTAAAAAATGAAATAGGTAAAAACTAACAAAATACATACAGGATATGTATGCTGAAAACTACAAAACGCTGCTGAAAGAAATCAGAGAAGGCCTAAATAATGAAGACATGTAATACTCAAGGATTTAAAAACTCAAAATAATAAGAAGTTTGTCCTTTCTCCCCAAGTTAATCATTAGAACCAAGAAGATCATTAAACCTAAAGTACAAGGAACATAAAGAAAACTACACCAGGAAAAATACATTACAATCATTTGCTTAAAACCAGTGACAAAAGAAGTGGGGGTGGTGAGAGAAGATATTACATAGATAGGAACCAAGATAACGATGACAGCAGATTTCTTGTGGGAAATAAAGCAAGTCAGAAGACAGCTGAGTAATATTATGAAACTACTGGAAGAAAATAAACTGCCAACTTACATTCTTTAGCCAGCAAAATGTCTTTAAAAAAATGCAAGGTAGGCCAGGCACGGTGGCTCACGCCTGTAATCCCAGCACTTTGGGAGGCTGAGGTGGGTGGATCACTTGAGGCCAGGAGTTTGAGACCAGCCTGTGCAACATGGTGAAACCCTGTCTCTACTAAAAATTAGCCAGGCATGGTGGCAAGCTCCTGTAATCCTACCAACTTGGGAGGCTGAGGAAGGAGAATCACTTGAACCCAGGAGGCAGAGGCTGTGGTGAGCCGAGACTGTGTCATTGCACTCCAGCCTGGGGGAAGAGCAAGACTTTGTCTCAAAAAAAAAAAAAAAGGTAAAGCATGACTTGCCTGCTACACTGAAAACTATTAAAACATCCCTAAAGGAAATTAAAGTTTTAGATAAATGGATGTACCCCATGTTTATGAATCAGAAAACTCAACAGTATTATATTAAGATGGCAAGACTCCCAAAATTGATCTATAGATTTAACACAATTTCTATCAAAATTCCAGTTGGATTTCTACATAAATTGACAAACTGACCCTAAAACTGACAAGCAAAGGAAGCACAATACCCAAAAGAATCTTGAAAAAGACAATGTTGGAGGACTCACTCTTCTTGATTTCAAAACTTACTACAAAGCTCCAATAATCAGAGAATTATGAGATCATGGCGGACAGAACGCAGGACTAGATCGCAGCTCCCACTGGGACAGACAGAGCAGAGTGCGGAGGCTCGCATCGTGAACTTTTGTTCCGTAACAACTGCAGGAATAAATCAGGAAAGCAGAGAGAACCCACAGATCCTCTGAAGGAAGCAGATTGCAGGACCCAGTAGACACCCCGCATACTGTGTTGGTATCCACCGCTGAGACACCCACAGATGGTTCACATCACAGGACTCTACAGACAACCCCCAGTACCAGCCTGGAGCCTGGTAGACTTGCTGGGTGGCTAGATTCAGAAGACAGATAACAATCATTACAGCCCAGCTCTCAGGAAGCCATATCCCTAGGAAAACTGGGAGAGTACTACTGCAAGTGAACACCCCATAGGACAAAAGAATCTGAACAGCAGCCTCGAGTCTTAGTAGACCTTCCTGCTGACAGGGCCTACCTAAATAAGAAGGAACCAGAAAGCCAACTGGTAATATGACAAAACACAGTTCTTTAGCACCCCCCAAAAATCACACTAGCTCACCAGCAATGGATCCAAACCAAGAAATCTCTGATTTACCTGAAAAAGAATTCAGAATGTTAGTTATTAAGCTAATCAGGGAGGCACCAGAGAACAGCGAAGCCCAGTTTAAGGAAGTCAAAAAAATAATACAAGATATGAGGGGAGGCCAGGTACCATGGCTCACGCCTGTAATCCCAGCACTTTGGGAGGCCGAGGCAGATGGATCATGAGGTCAGGAGATCGAGACCATCCTGGCTAACATGGTAAAACCCCGTTTCTACTAAAAATACAAAAAATTAGACAGTGTGGTGGCATGTACCTATAGTCTCAGCTACTCAGGAGGCTGAGGTAGGAGAATCGCTTCAACCTGGGAGGTGGAGGTTGCAGAGTGAGCCAAAATCGCACCACTGCACTCCAGCTTGGGGCAACAGAGTGAGACTCCATCTCAAAAAAAAAAAAGGAAAGAAATGGGAAGTGAAATAGACAGCATAAATAAAAAACAATCAAAACGTCAGGAAACAATGGATACACTTAGAGAAACGCAAAATGCTCTGGAAAGTCTCAGCAATAGAATCAAACAAGCAGAAGAAAGAACTTCAGAACTCGAAAACAAGGTTTTTTTTATTAACCCCATCCAACAAAGACAAAGAAAAAAGAATAAGAAAATATGAACGAAGCCTCCAAGAAGTCTGGGATTATGTTTAACAAGCAAACCCGAGAATAATTGGCGTTTCTGAGGAAGAAGAGAAATCCAAAAGTTTGGAAAATATATTTGGGGGAATAATAAAGGAAAACTTCCCTAACTTGCTAGAGACCTCTTCACCCAAATACAAGAAGCTCAAAGAACACCCGGGAAATACATTGCAAAAACATCATTGCCTAGGCTTACAGTCATAAGGTATCTAAAGTTAAGACAGAGGAAAGAATCTTAAGATCTATGAGGCAAAAACACCAGGTAACCTATAAAGGAAAACCTATCAGATTAATAGCAGATTTCTCAGCAGAAACCCTCCAAGCCAAAAGGGCCCTATCTTCAGCCTCCTTCAACCAAACAATCGTTTCCAGCGAAACTAAGCTTTGTAAGTGAAGGAAGGAAACAGTCCTTTTCAGACAAATGCTAAAAGAATTCACCACTACCAAGCCAGCACTACAACAGCTGTTAAATTGAGTTCTGAATCTTGAAACAAATCCTGGAAACACATCAAAACAGAACCTCTTTAAAGTATACCTCTCACAGGATCTATAAAGCAAAAATACAATTCAAAAAATAAAAACAAAAAACCAAGGTATACAGGCAACAAATAGTATGATGAACGGAATGGTATCTTACGTCTCAACACTAATGTTGCATGTAAATGGCCTAAATGCTCCACTTAAAAGATACAGAATTGCAGAATGGGTAAGAATTCCCCAACCATCTGCTGTCTTCAAGAAACTCACCTAACACATAAGGACTCATACACTTAAGGTAAAGGGGTAGAAAAAGATATTCCATGCAAAGGGACACCAAAAACAAGCAGGAGTAGCCATTATTATATCAGACAAACAAACTTTAAAACAACAGCAGTTAAAAAAGACAAAGAGAGGGCCAGGCTCATGCCTGAAATCCCAGCACTTTGAGAGGTCGATGTGGGCAGATCACTTGAGGTCAGGAGTTCAAGACCAACCTGGCCAACATGATGAAATCCCATCTCTACTAAAAATACAAAAATTAGCCAGGCATGGTGGCTCATGCCTATAGTCCCAGCTACTCAGAAGGCTGAAACAGGAGAGTCACTTGAACCTGGGAGGCAGAGGTTGCAGCCAAGATTGTGCCACTGCACTCCAGCCTAGATGACACAACACAGCAAGACTGTCTCAAAAAAAAAAAAAAAAAAAAAAGACAAAGAGGGACATTATATAATGACAAAAGGCCTTGTCCAACAGGAAAATATCACAATCCTAAATATATATGCACCTAACATTGGAGTACCCAAATTTATAAAACAATTAATAGACCTAAGAAATGAGATAGCCACACAGTAATAGTAGGGGACTTCAATACTCCACTGACAGTACCAGACAGGTCATCAAGACAGAAATTCAACAAAGAAACAATAGATTTAAACTATACCCTGGGACAAATGGACTTAATAGATACTTACATAGCATTCTACTCAACAACCACAGAATATACATTCTATTCATCAATGTATGGAACTTTCTCAAACATAGGTCATATGATAGGCCACAAAATGAGCCTCGATAAATTTAAGAAAATTGAATATCAAGCACTCTCTCAGACCACAGTGGAATATCAAGCACTCTCTCAGACCACAGTGGAATAAAACAGAAATCAATTCCAAAAGGAACCTTCAAAACCATAAAAATACATGGAAATTAAATAACCTGCTCCTAAATGATCATTGAGTCAAAAATTAAATCAAGTTGGAAATTAAAAAATTCTCCAAAACTGAACAACAGTAGTGATACAACCTATCAAAACCTCTGGGATGCAGCAAAGGCAGTGCTAAAAGGAAAGTTCATAACCCTAAACACCTATATCAAAAAGCCTGAAAGAACACAGACAATCTAAGGTCACAACTCAAGGAACTAGAGAAACAA